CATTAGCACCTCTAGTAATATATTTACTGAGAAAATGGTGACGTGTTCAATACTTATTTTACCCGCTGTATAAAAGCAAATTAGTCTAATTCAGTCACAAAATTTGAGGACTTAAAACACAATTGTTCTTGAATTATTCAGTAAATGAACCTTATATTCAGATGCTGTGCAGCTTGTAATAAATACAGCTTTTAAACCAATGCTGATTTTTTTTCTCTCTCTCGTTAGATTCTCGTTTTAACGAAGATAGAAAAAAGAAACAAAAACGGAGGAAGAGCAAAGACAGGAAGTCAAGAAAAAGGTAATCTTTGGCTTTGSTCCATATATTTATTTAGTGTCACTGTAAGGCAGATTATTTAACCCTCATTGTATAAATTCCCTTCACCTAGATCCCATTCTTCATCGGGGGATGAGGAGACAAAAAAGAGAAAAAAGCAGAGCCGGTCAAGCTCTTCATCGGATGAGAAAGAGAAGAGGACAAAAAAGAAGCAAAGCCACAAGAAGAAAAGCAAAAAGAACAAAAAGGAGCACGGGAAGCATCACAAAAAGAGAGACAAGAAAAGGAAGCAGAAATCCTCCTCCTCCTCTTCCTCTTCTAGCTCAAGTGATTCTTCAGAAAGTGACTGAACCAAGAAACTGCAGCTTCTGGAYGTGTTTATTCAGAAGTTCTGATATATATTTTTTATTTTTAATGGAGCTTCTCATCAAAGTCAGCTTTTATCACAAAGGTAAATGGACTTGGTATAAACAGAATGTTAGTTTCTCTGTGTGCTGTAGAGTTACTGGCAAACGTGGCTAAAAAAAACAGATGGTAAAAATGTGATGAGCTGAGCAGCATCTTGTGAAAAAAATGTGCTTTTCTTAGTTTATACTCCTTAATATGTTAAAAAATGGGAACAATTTGAAAGGTCAAATATGGATATCAGACTCTTCAATTCATGTTTTTTCATAATTTGTGTTTGCCATTCTCTAGTACTTATCAGTTTTTGTTATAACTTACAATGCAAGTTGAACTTATAACGTTAGGGGTTTCATCATTGGTAGTTGACAGGAACTGTTTTTACTGTCTGTTTTTAGGGATTGCCAATTATAATGGGATACTTTGTTTTTTATTTTTTCCTATAAATTTGTTCTGTCAATATAAGGATATTTGAAGTATTTTTAAAATAAATGTCTCAGTCAGTCCCTTTTATACAGCTTTGTTTTTTTTATTTCATATTGAACATTGTCATCCTTCAGTTTTAATAAACCATACTGTTTATTAGATTAAATGTGTTCTGATTAGCCTTAACATCTAATGAAACAAATGCCACTTTCTGGAATTTAAAAAAACAGAAAATAAAAGCCATATACAGAGGAGTCCGCTAGAGGGCGGCAACACACTTCAGATATGCTAAAAACTTCCGTGATATAAAAGTTAATTTACAAAACATGGACTTTTAAAAACAAGGATTTTCAATGATAAAATTAAACTATTATCCAGGTATGTAAAAACTGCAGGAAAAGTATAAAAATAGCTTGAAATTAATTCCTAAAAAAATATACAGGATTTTTTTTTTTAAAGTGTCAACATAGGGCTCACTTTTTCAGTTTTTGAGCAATAATAAAATGCAAAAATCTGCTTTGAGAAATCACCTAAAAAATCTGTAGCAGATCTAAAAGGAAAAATAAAATATTGATGACATCCTTTGTAAGTTTTTATAAGAACTTTAAGCCCACCTAGTGGTCATATTAGGAACTGTTTTTCATTTCCATTACAATGTAATGGAAATATGTTTTTATTGCGTATTATGCAATAAAAAAACAGGTGAACAGACAGACTTGCAGAAGTATTAAACTTCCTAATCTTTGATTCGTGATTTGCCAATCACAAATCGAGTCGTCTCTCATCAGCAGCGCAGCTTGGCTTTTCTCCCTGATGGAAGAAGCGCCTGTGTCAAACATCAATCTCACAAACAACTAAACTTGGAAAGGAATTTGTCGAACACAAAGAGCCTTTTGTATCAGGCTCTCACAGGGAGGTCCGATCCATATCCTCAAACAGTCGTATTAAATTTGAAGCATGCTCATTTCCCAGCTGGAGTTTTTCCGAACAACTAATCACTCAGTTTCAGGCACTTGAAATGAGTCGAGAAGATCACCTTTTTTGTTTTATGCCGGAGGCTGAAATATGTCTTCGCCTGCTGTTGGTGAAGCATTTTATCCAAGCAGAGAGATGGCTGAGGCACTTTGTTGGCTGATGAACAGGTGCAAAATAGCACATAAATACTTTCAATCAGTTTTATCTGTGTACAGCTACAAAATACAGTACTTACTACTGAAAATTACAAAGGTTTACCATACTGATTTGAAGTTATGAGAGCTAAATAATTTTTCCCATCTGAAGCAGATAAAAAATGGAGTCAACAATCCCTCACATTTGTGTTTTCATTCTGCCTCCATGGTATCAATAAGCTGCAGAAACAGATTATCTATGGTGTCTACAAGCAGAAACACGGATTTTTGGAAGCCCTTGTGTTTTACTTCATTTGGACAGGGTGAACGGTGTTTCTAGATTAGCAATTAATTTTACTTTGCCTTGAGGAAGGGGATATTTTCTGAGACATTTGTAACATTTTGACAGTTGCTGTTCAGAACTTGACATCCGGAGTGAGCCATTTCCTGCTGTTTCAGGTCATAAAAACAATATTTAGGATGTACTGCTGCAAACTTGGCAAAGACAGTCAAGGAGTTGATGCATTTTACTGTAATTGTGAGGTTTGATTTCCGAGGAAGCAGCTTGAATCATGTTTATACTTTCTTTTCCTCAGAAAAAAACTTGTACAAGAGAGAAACATAATTTAATGACTTTTGAAAGTTTTTGTAACTTATGTTTTCTTAAATTAATGTTTAAATGTAATAAGTTAGCTCCTGATCCATTAAGTTCATTTATACAAAGGCAAAACAGCAACAGGGTCAATTGAGGATCATTACAACAGAACTGTATAACTCCACTACTTTTCATACAAAAGCACAACCTTATGGAATTTATTGCCTCTGCAAATAAAAGCTACGATTGAATTAAAAAATTGATCCACATGAGATCTTGAGATCACATCTTGGCTAAAGGAAAACCAAAGATGTGATCATTTTTAGTATTTAGATAAGAACCGTCTGTGTAGGACTGAATGTGTTGGTGAGTTACTGTTGTAGTGATAATTCTTCCTGTGTGTTGGCTAATGTGGGAGGATGGAGAGGTACCTGAGGATGTGTATGGTTAATTTTAGAGGTTCTAAGGTTATTCAAACTGTTTGTTTTAGAATTCTAACTTTTATGTATTTCAGTTTTGTATGATTTGTATTGTTAATTTTTATTGCATGAATTTGTAAGCAGTATTGGATGATTTTATGAATTTCTTGGCAGACATGCTTATGTATTTATAGTGTATATGGATGCATATATGTACTTTATTTGTGTAGAAATGCCCAACCAGGGACTGGAGTTGCAAATTAGCTGTATCAAAATACTCGTTGTGCAACGCATTAGTTACAGACTTGATCTGTTCTATGTTTTTGTATGCATTGTCCCTGTTAAATAAATAAAGATAAAGATTTTAAAAAAAACACTTGGCCTCACCAAAGCTCATCAGTTTGTATCACCTCACAAAAGTGAAAACTGCAATAAAGACAGTTCATGTATTCTTGATTTTGTCTTAGAGAAAACCAAAACATAAGGCCTTTGTGTATCAGTTTTAATTAAAATGGTGTGTTGTGATTGTCCACAAAATTCTGCAAATGAAAGTAATTCAATAATCTTGCATTCAAAATCAAATGCAAGCATTTAAATTCACATGGTAAATAACTGAGGACATAAATGAGAATGCAGAAAACCACAGTGTTTGAGTTCGGTTTCTAAAGTTTTAACAACAAAACTCATACTTTTAGGAGTAAGTTTGACTGTGCAGATGGCCAGAGGACAACTTGGTAGAAAAAGCAAATGGTGTTGAAGGAGTGCTGCCGTGTGCAGCCATGTTGAGCAAACCATATGCTGTTTGTATAAGACAACGGCTAGGATTTTCTGTTTGTATCAGCTCATTGGCTTTTATTGAGTCTGAAAGCAGAGAGAAAATGGGACTCCATCGAGCTGTTTAAATGGAAATGAGACGGTCAAACTCGTCTTATGGAGCTGAACTGCAGCAGGATGGCAAAGCATCCTTTCCAAAAAACAACTTTGTAACAATGATGTCAAACTTTAGGCACATTTTTTTTTAAATGGAAGATCCACCATGAAATGTTCTATCGTCATCAAAAGGTGTGTTTTCATTTCATTTGTTTGGAAATGGATGTTTTTCATATTTTCTAGAATTAACGCAAGAATTTTCTCTATCAAATCGTTTAACTTTTGTTTGAGGTCACACATTCTGACCCCAACAAACCAAGAACGCCGTGCTGACATTTCACTAAAAAAAAGAAAATGRCAACAGCTCCCACACTTCAGCAGCACAGATCCTTCCTCTGCCACTTCAGTGAGGATGGATGTCTTACATGTCCCTGACATCAGACRCATGTGGCTTTTACAAACCCCAGCGACATGGTGTCATCTCTGTGTCGGGCACATCTGCTCACTCTTACTCTGCTTTTAGTGTTCTTTCCACTCCACAATTAAATGGAAAGTATTTTGTGCGTTTGTTCGGTATTCTGTGTGTGTGCGTGGCGTTTGGTCCCTTTGTTTTAAAGAGACATCAAACAAGCCGTTACAGGATGGTTTGAACATGGTTAACATGGTTATTTGTTATTTTGACAAATAAAGAACTCTGACACAGAAGTCATTCCGACAAGTTTTACACAGATGTTGACAGTTGTCGGTATTTTCAAAAACACGTTTAAGGCAGAGTTCTTCCACGGTTTTGGAGATACTGCAGAGGACGGGTAAATGTGCTATAATTATATTTAAAAATGTCATTATTTATTTATTTATTTATTTATCAAAATTATGTCTTTAAACACACTAATATGAATCCAATATGTGGCAAATTGAATGTGTGTATTTTTATTGGAACACATATTTTTATGCCTCCATTTATTCTGTATCCTCTTTCTTTCTTTCTTTCTTTCTTTCTTTCTTTCTTTCTTTCTTTCTTTCTTTCTTTCTTTCTTTCTTTCTTTCTTTCTTTCTTTCTTTC